TCTAATAAATATATAAATATATGAATAAATATATAAATATATAAATACATACAGGTATAAATATATGAAACGTTGCATATAATTTTAGACGCAGCTGTCGTATGGCCAACGTTCCTCATGTATAAAAGTCGGTAGCACGTGGTTAAAACAACACCGCATCAACTCATTCTACCGCATAATACAGGACACAAACTTGGAGCATGGTGCCTCCGCGTTGATGCAGATTTGCGGATTTGACAAATTAGCCCCCAACGTGGTTCTCATGGGTTACAAGACTAATTGGTTGACGTGCGATTACAAAAACCTGCAGGAATACTTGAATATTATTCAGTAAGTCGACATTATTATTATTATTATTGTTACATTCGAGAAATTTGTGGCAGACATTACAGCGAATTTATTCCTTGTGTGTTTCTCACCGTCATTCTATTTTATTTACTCCAACTGGATCGTATTCTTAACGCGTATTCGAACGTCAAATAGAGTATATTGCGCTTACATACACATTAGTACGCCAGATTGCCTATGCGTTTCGTTGGTAGGCGCGCGTAGTCGTGTGCAGTCTCAGTAGATCTTGACGGAATGCTCACTTGCGCGCTTTCCTTCCTACAAAATTGACGTTCCAAGTGAGCATTCTAAGTAGGGTGCACTTGACGCTGCAAATACTTTGAAGCACTATATTAATCTTTCGACTCTCAAGACTCGCACAGCGCGAGTCGTTCGTCCCATAAATGATTTTCCTAGAATAATTCTGACAAATAATTTTGATAATTTTTGTGGTTTTTTCTAATTAATTCTTAAGTTATAAACTTAAGACAAATAAATGCATACTATATACAATTTTCAAGAAAATGTAACTGGGCGAGTCATTCGTCCTTCTTGAGAATTTATGTTTGAAATTAATAAAAATCGAAAAGTTAATCAATTATAGTCATTTTTTACGCGCTACAAAGCGTTTATATTGAGTTGGCCAATAAGTTCGTGCGGTTTTTTACTTATAAATGATCGATGATTATTTTTATAGAAGGTAATAACTTTAATCAATTATGTATTGGCCGTTGTTATCTACTATTTTTTTTCTTTCGGGCAGCTTCATAATTCCTCGTTCAAAGAACTTCCTGTCTTTCTCGGAAAAAAACTGTTCCAAGTGTCGTTTGATAGCTTCTTCAGAAACGAAGTACTTTCCATTCAAGGAATTTTAAAGGGAGCAAAACAGATGGTAATCTAAAGGTGCAATGTCTGGAGAATACGAAGGATGTGGTAAGACATCCCAGCCTAGTGCCAATAATTTTTGCCGGATTTATAAAGATGTGTGCGGTCTAGCATTGTCATGATGAAAAACGACGCCTCTACGATTCACCAATTCTGGATGCTTCTCGTGAATCGCTGTATTCAATTTATCCAGCTGACTACAGTACACATCTGAATTGATCGTTCTGTTCTTCGGAAGTAGCTCGTAGAACATAACACCCTTCCAATCCCACCAAATTGAGAGCATGATCTTGCTCGGGTGAAACCCTGTCTTCGAAGTGGTTTGTGGTGATTCGCTGCGCTGCCCCCACGATCTTTTGCACTTGATATTATTGTAGACGATCCATTTTTCGTCGCCAGTTACCATACACTTCAGAAATGGATCGCTTTTCTCATGTTTTCCGAGTGAATCGCTGATGGAAATACATTAGATTAAATGAGCTTCGCTCAGTTCGTGCGGAACCCAAACATCGAAACGGCTAACATAATTAAGTTGATGCAGATGGTTTTCCACGCTCGATTTCGATATTTGGAGAACGTCTGCAATCTCTCGCGTCGTGTAGTGTGGATTGATGTCGATTATCGCCTTCAATTTGTCGATGTCGATCTTATTTGGTCGGCCTAAGCGTGGTTTGTCTTTGACGGAAAAATCTCCGCAACGAAATCTCGTAAACCACTTTTAGTACACACGTTTTTTTACGGCATCCTCACCATATATTGCACAAAGCTTTTTACATGTTTGCGCTGCGTTTTTGCCTTTTTTAAAATAAAAAAAGCATAATATGCCGAAAATTCTCTGGTTATCCATTTTCAGGTGACGCAAAACACACAAGATACACAAGCAATCTTTACATATATTTTTTAAATGCATATTGAAATGTCATATGTCAATGATTATACGCTTTCAAGACTTTTGACTGAAGATAAAGCTTAGCAGAGCGCCTTGAAGCCATCTATCGAGAAAAACCGGACTTATTGGCCAACCCAATAGCTTCAAATCCCTACTCTCTACAAAGATCTACTGAGATCGCTACCAGCGAAACGCATAAGCAATCCTTCGTGCAACGCTCTGTATGTTTTTCCGATTGTCAAGCTAAAGCAATCTTGCAATGACGTATAAAAAACAGAACTTGTAGCCCTATTCTTATAGCTTTTAACAACAGTATCATTATAGGCCTGTTGGAATAAAAATACGTACTTAGCGTTGGAATATGCATCAAGAATACGATCCTAGAGCTACGTGCTTCGGGATTACTCTTAGATTATAAATTAAGAAGATATTTCAATTTTACAATAATTTTTCCCAGCGATGCCTTCGACCAACAACTAGCCATATTAATTTTGAGAATTGCCGATGGTCTGGACTGCTCCGATGCGACGGATTTCAACGAAAGCGACGAATGCGGAAATCCCGTTCAAAGCAATGGATTGGCAGGTAATACCGTGGTGCACATGACCGACAGTGACCTCTCCGTAAGCACGCAGATTTCCACAACGCAAAGTGTGTCGACAATAGGTATGAAAATCGATATTGATTAAATCTAAGATCAAATTAGAGTGCTATTTAAAGTTAGTGATCGCCATCCTTTATCTATCGCAAGTTAGCTCTAAATCAGAGCCCGGCAAGTGATACACTTTTCGGCCAATTTTCGCGTTGTTCCCCTTGTGTTGTTGCATCGCGCGCAGCTTACGAGTCACTCCTTGACGTTGAAGCAATTCGTACGGGAAGTACGAGTCTTCCGAAAATTGTTCGGGAAGTATATTGTTTGTCGAACTCTGCTGTAAATAATTCAATTAAAAAAATCTACTCCGTTACAAAAAAGTGACAAAATTCCGAAATTTTTACACTTAAACATTTATTACCTTCAACAGTTATTGAAGTGTCGATATTTCAAACGTTTCGCGCGTTGTTTGTAATTTGTGTGTTTCAATTCGATATCATATCTTAGGTACGTCCTCCGACACAAATGATGACACAAATGTAATAAGAGATTCAACGATAGGTCAGAGCGCCCAGGAAAATCTACAGCAGAAGAATATCGTTGACGCTCAACTGGTGTATGTGTATAAATATTGATGTCGCCAAAATCATTCAGAGTACTTGACGAATTTCTCTGCCGTTAATAATTAATTGTTTATCATTTCAGCAAAAAATACAACCATACACCGGAGATCACGACAATTTTTCAGGAGAAGCACAAAAAAGGAATAATTGACGTGTGGTGGCTGTATGATGATGGAGGTAATTCATAAAATTATACTTGAGCGGTTTACGTGGTGTAAACCACGATTGACGGCATATCAATATACGCATATCGTGTGAATCGCTCGTATACAAAATTAGTTGAAATTTCTGGCTCATTTGTAACCAGCAAAACTTGTTATTCGGCAGGTCTGACGATCCTTCTGCCGTATATAATGGGTACACGGTCTGATTGGGAACACTGCAAAATAAGGTTATTCGCTTTAGCCAATTATAAACAGGACATCAATGCTCAGGAGAAAGAGTAAGTTTGTCGAAAGAGCTGCTTTAAATAAATCCTAGATAGCACAGAGAATTCAAAAAGAATTAAAAATTTAGTGGTATGTTACCAACTCTGAGTTTATTTTCAAATGCAAAAAGAATTCTTCAGAGTTTAGTTTATTGAAAAGAATTCAGAAATGAACTCAGAATTGGACATACGACTGAATTCTTTTCGAATTCTCTGTGTTATTTGGGATATCATCATTGAGAAAAAAAAATTGATTTATAACTAAAATTATAATTATTTCTGGCCCTAACTATATTTTTTGGTTGTTCCAGCACGAAAATAATAATAATAACGTGTATATTGCTATTAACCGGTTATTGCTATTAATATTATAGAATTTAATAAAAAAATAGTTTTCTCTTGGCCATAATTTATAGTAATTGTTTCTCAATGTGTAATTATAAACGCCAAACATTTTTTCTCAGTGGATACACGCATGAGTCCTTTAGAAGATTAATTTTTTATTTTATTAATAATTTCGATTCATAAATAATTGAATAACTTCTAAAGAAATTAATAAGCATTATTAATTTTGAATCTTACAGAATTAAAGAGATAATGGAGAAAGCTCGAATACAATACGACAGCTTAAAGATAATAGATATTTATACCAAACCGCAACAAGAAACGCGGTCCTTCTTCAACAAGTTGATATCCGATTTCCGGACGAACAATACTTCCGGTATGTGTCGTACGAATATGTAAATTTCGTCCCGATTTATGCACATGATATTCGTTCAATATTCAACAATAATAATTGTCATTTTCAGATCATAACATCACCAATACAGAGATCGATTCCTTACAGAACAAGACTGATCAGCAGTTGCGACTGCGTGAGTTGTTACTGGAGAACTCGAGTCAGTCCACATTATTAATAGTGTACGTATGATAGTACCTTAAGTACTGCAATCAGTAGGTCACATCATAACGACGTATTGTAATTTTTCCCGAGGGTACGTTCGTCATCTACTTATCATAAATTGCAGCTCCTTACCAATTCCAAAGAAGAATATAATTTCATCGCCGCTGTACATGGCCTGGTTAGAAGCGCTTACGAAAGACATGCCACCCACGATCTTAGTCCGTGGCAATCATACACCCGCATTGACGTTCTACTTGTAATTTACTAGTATAATTAAAATTTATTATATATATTTACTAGTATAATTAAAATTTATTATATATATTTCGATGTTTTGAAAAATCTTCCGACTGAGAAGAACTTTTCCAATGTGAACGTACAGTATTTGGAATATTTATACCATAATTAATGTAGTTACTTAGCCAATAGTTAGCAAATATAGCCTGTAATCACATAGCCAATAGATCACATATACATATTGACGTTCTACTCGTAATCTACCGATTATAACCCTGACTAAAATTTATATATTTTGATGTTTTAAAAAGTCTTCCGACTAGGACGAACTTTTCTAATATGAACGTACAGTATTTGGAATATTTATGCCAAAATTAATGTAGTTACTTAGCCAATAGTTAGCAAATATAATCTGTAGTTACATAGTCGATAGATCACATATATGTATTGACGTTCTACTCGTATCTATCGATTATAACCTTGATAAAACTAAAATTTGTATATATTTTGATGTTTTGAAAAGTCTTTCAACTGAGAAGAACCTTACCAATATGAACGTACAGTATTTGGAATATTTATGCCAAAATTAATGTAGTCACTTAGCCAGTACTCTGTTAATTGTAGCCTGTAGTTATATAGTCAATAGATCACACATCCATATTAACACGTTCTACTCATAATCTACTAGTAATAGACTTGGTATAACTAAAATTTGCGTATACTTTGATGTCACGAAATTTTTCAACTAAGAATAACTTTTCCAAAGTAAACATATAATATTTAGAATAGTTATGCCAAAATTAATATAGTTACTTAGCTAATACTTAGCCAATTGTCTGTAATTACATAGCCAATACTTCTCGACGTATTTTTGTTTTTTTACCTATATTTAAAATCTATTTTGTATTTAATTTTTAACTCAATGTATTTAATTTTATCGACTGTAAGTTGTAGAATTAAGGCCATAAGTGTGTTAATAGAGCTAGATATAACTTCAGTACCTGTCAGTCTGTAGTAAATCTCTCCGAACTGTCTTGAATTATTACTCAACTGAGAGAAGTAGCTGTGTGCTCTAATTAATTAAATAACTATAATAAGTGAAAATGTACGAAGACTATTTATTAAGACAAACATCGAAGCGACAACATAAATAATAATGTATCTATAATTCTTATATTATTTCTAGACACTCACAGAATCCTTCCAAGATCATCTTTTTCTTTGAGATGAATCATATAAAATCTATCATGTATATAGTTGTTGTAATATTGTGTTAAAATTAAATATATGTTAAAGATAAAAAAACCATCCTTTATGAATTATGTGTAAAATGTCTTTTTCTGTAGAAAATATTTAAAAAAATATAAAGAGTTCATTTCCTGTGTCAAAACGTGCGATGGTACATAGGAAATTCACTAAAAAAGTGCACTTTAATGCGTGCGTATGTTAAACTGATAAGAAGTTAAAACTGTTAATATACTTTCACGTTAATGTGGTTAAGAAATTCAATATTATATGCATTATTTATCATACAAATAACAAATGGGATTTAATTATGATATAAGAACATATAGTTTTTTTTAAAATATATTATAACTTGGTATATGTGTCACGTATTTTTGGCAAGATAAATTATGCACAGTCAAGTTTCCTAAACCTTTTTACGAGAAATTTTCACGTAAAAAAATTGTATTTTTTAATTAGAATTCTTGAATTAGAAATTTTAAATTAGAAATCTTTAATTAAAAACTAACTAAATAGTTCGAGAATATTCGTTTAATGATTAATAAATCGTGAATGTAGAAACAAATGCACTTCATATACCAAACGCAATATTCGTTAATTTTTTTAATGACATTAAATTTAATGTCATTAGAAAATGTCATTAAAAAAATATTAATATTATATAAATTTATTATCATTAATAATATTAAATTTAATGATATTAATGAAACTAAAATTTTTTACTGAGTATTTTGCAAAGGTATCTATGTCAAATGAATTTCGAGAGATTAAAACATTCAATTCCTGGATTAAATTCTGATGTCTATGCCATTGCACTCGTCGATATATTAGGTTTATTTTTCGTTCCTGCACTGCTGAACTGGTGTAATAAGTTAGAGCAAGAAAAAATATACTTATCTCACTGTAACTTATTGCACCAGTTTAGCAGTGCAGAAACAATAAACGGACCCATTGTGATGTCAATTAGTTTAAAAATTTCAGGCATACTGACGTCAATACGATCTGGATGTCCATGAGGAGAGTGCGTTTCAATGATTATCCAATTTGTGAGGAACGGAAAATAATAAATCTATAAACCATGCGCACCGTAAAATCAATTAAAAGAGATAAATTACATATAGTGGTCAATTAAAAGAGATAAATTACATATAGTGGTAACTTCAATGATGATATGTATGTACACATATCTCCTTGAGTTGATAATTTCGCTTTTTAGTTGTTGAAAATTGTAAAAATAAAATATGTACTTATGTGCGCAGAAATATTCATTTAAATATATGAAACATATTTTAAATATACACAAAAGTAAAATATACTTATATTGGCACACAAAACAGATTTTAAATAAATATTACACATTTCTAAAATAGGAAGTACTCTGTTATAAAAAAAAAAGATTGCTTAATAACATTATATATGCTCTGTTGTTCTATAAAAATATTTATAAATGTTTTGTTCTATAAAAATATTTATTAATTTCATCATAGTCATACAAAAATCACATATGTGAGAAAATGAAAGTAATGAAATATATTATATGAAATATAATTATAAATATACATTCATTTACAATTATTCGAAGAAATTTTTAAATATAAAACAATACACGCAATCCGAGATAAATAGATGAAGTGTTTAAATATTTTAGATAATGTTACGAAGATATATGTACTTCAAAAAACGATACTTCGGATTCGACCTTTTCCGCTAAACGAAGAACTTCTAAAACCCATAATAAAAATCGCAACAATAATCATTAATATTGTATTCTCATATATAATTATTCCCAACTGTCTCTCTTCAATAATATAAACAATTACATAAACAATTATATATTGTTTCTCATTAATTAAAACAATGCCAAATACAAATAATATAAATAAAATCGAGCAAATTTATGATGTATTCTGTATTACTTGTTGGTTTGAGTCTCATAGATCTTGCTAAAGACCGGCTGAATTTGCTCTAACATATCCGACGCCAACATTCCCCGCTGCTTTATTTTGAAGGCTGATGCATTGCATTCTCGAATTAGTCTGGATGCAGCGTAACATGCCACTATTGAAGGCGAGAGAGCACCTTCACTAGCTCCTGTAGAGATAGCCCACCACCAAAAGACAGCCAAGGAACCAGCCAAAAGATCTCCCTGGCCACCACATCTCCTTCCAGAGCCAGCTAATGCACAGGAGACTGTCTCAGTACCCTTGTGGCCATCCACAATCACATCCTTTGCACCTTTATGCAAAATCACGACATTTCTCCCAAAAGATTCTGCCAGATGTTTCACATCAGAAGCTTTGACTATAGGGGAGGGTGCAATGTTTCTGTCCAGAACTGCTTTGACTAAACGACTGAACTCCATTGCATTTGGTGTCATGATGAGTCCTGGATAGTCTTTTATAATCTCTGGTTTCTGATAAATCAAAAACAATCCATCAGCATCAATAACTAATGGCTTCTTCAGGTCACGACAAATTGATATTAGGTCAACGATCGTTTTGAATATCTTTTCATCTCTGCCAAGTCCAGGTCCAATCAGGATAACATGAAGACGATCTAGCCAAGGTACTATATGCTTCAGTGCATCAGGCTGGTCTAATATTGGATGAACTATTGGTTCTGGACTAAATGATTTAATGGGAATGCTGGCATCCTTTGCGCAGAACACATGAACAAGATCAGCACCAGTCCTCAATGCGCTCATGGCTGCAAAATATGGTGCTCCTGTATATTCAGTACTACCACCAAAAATTCCAATTCTACCATCCTGGCCTTTATATTTGGTATTGATCAAATTTGGTATCACCTTCTGTATTCCTCTTAACATACGCTCATCCATCGATGACAATGTAGACATTGTGGACATTAATAGAGATTTAATGTAACTCCTGTGGGTAAAATAACGAATAGCCAATGCCATCCTTTACATAAATAAGTAAAAATAAATATATATATTATATAGCTTTCTAATTATTTTATAAGTATAAATGACATTATATTTTTATATGAACTAATCAGTACTAGTACTAATATTTTAATCTTACTTTATTTTGTTACATGTAAATATTATTGCTACTGTAACGTCAAACGTTTACCTTATACGTGTTGCTTTTATAAAAGATATTATAAAAGATATTCACTACAAATCTTGTATTGAAATAAATTTGTTTACCTAATCAGTAACTGTTAGTATAATATTTGGTAAGCTACAAATACAAAATTTTGTTAAAGAAATTATTCTACATAATATTACTATCATGATAAACAAATCCAATTACAAACAGTCGACATCTCGATAACACTTATGCTTAACACGTCAATGAATTAACAAAATCCAGAGGAACCTAAAGCCCGTGTCACACTACGGATTGGAAATTGAAGATTGCGGTTTGAAGATTATAGCGTGTTCTACTGGCCCTGGGTTAATCGCTCCGAGAGCGATTAATGACGTCATAAGTCTCTACTAGCCAATTATAAAGCTTATAAGTAATTGTTCGACCAATAAACGTAGGCTGAATAACCCAGAGTGGGTTAACCCAGAGCCAGTCGAACATTCTATTAGATTTCGACGAATCAATGCACTTTGGTCTTGGCCTGCTTGGCTTCAATTGATGAAGTTCCAGTCTTCAATCCGCAATTTTCTACCTACAATCCGTAGTGTAACTGGGCTTAAGGCTGCGTTCCGAAATTCACTGCTAGTACTGAAATTCTATAATATACGTGACATAAAGATATAGATTTTCAGTACTTGCAGTGAATTTCGGAACGTAGCCTAAAGCCCGTGTCACACTACGGATTGGAGATAGAGGATTGCGGATTGAAGATTGAAACTTAACCAATTGGAGCCAAGCAGGCAAAGATCAAAGTGCATTGATTTGTCGAAATCTAATAGCATATTCGACTGGCTCTGGGTTAACCCACTCTGGGTTATTCAGCTTACGTTTATTGGTCGAGCAAGTACTTATAAGCTTTATGATTGGCTAGTAGAGACTTATGACGTCATTAATCGCTCTCGGAGCGATTAATCCAGGGCCAGTCGAACACGCTATAATCTTCAATCCGCAATCTTCAATTTCAAATCCATAGTGACACGGGCTTAACTCTCTTCTTGGAAAGAAGGAAACGATTTTCAGCGCCTCTATCTCGGGTCTTACTAACTGAACTAAAGAGCTGCGTTCCAAAATTCTACTCGGTAGAGTACATTTAATTGACCAATCATGATAAAGATATCTTAGTTATCTTTGTTTTTATTGGTCAAATACTACTCTACCCGTCGAGTAGAGTTTTGGAACGCAGCCAAAAGGTCTACGTGACGTGGAGTGGGGACATTCAAATTCATTTGGGCTCACGCGCGAGAGTCCATATACAGACAGAGAGAAAAATGAGAGTGACTATGCCCGCATTTAGAAGGTTATGGGAAAGTTGGCTGATTTGCCTCTATGTCCATTTTTTGTGGACATTGAACTACAAAGCCAATGTCCACGATTCGCTTGGTTAGGTAGGTTCTATACATCCAGATAGCCAAACTTGCGCGAACAGATTTCGAGCAGAGCTTGCTATCAACTTTTGATGGCAAATAGATAACAAATTTGAAGCAGGATCTGTTATATCAAATCTTGCTGCCAAATTGCCGCCAGATATGCGGCAGAGCTGGTTGTCGGATAATTGCTGCAGATTTGCAATAAAAACCGCGCAGAGCTTGTAGCGATTTAACGGCAGATTGGCGGTACAAACTGGCGCGCAGACTTTGCTGCGCTGCAAGTTTTGCGCGGTTTTTGCTGCAAATTTGGCACCAATTTCCCGACAGCAAGATCTGTCACCAAAACCGTAGCCTAATGTAGACACAGATGGCTATGGTTTTGCTGTGGGTTTTTGATCAAATTTGCTACCAATATGCGTGCAGTCTGCGCTGAATTTTCTTACTGGAATGTTACAATGTAATATTACAATAATATTATTGATACGTTATTTTGTAATATCGCACAGAAATATTATAGTAATATTGTATAATATATTAAATCCTAAGTGGCAAGATAATGTCAAATAACATTTTCATTACGTCATTAAAATGTTATTAAAACGTCATGTAATGTTAGTTGTATTATATCGTATTGAAGTATAAATAATATGTTTCAAAGGTAATATATCAGGACCTTGAATAAGTTCTCGCTGTTTTCCAATAGATTGCGTTATCAGAACTGCGTGCGTGTAGTTTAAGATAGTAACGCATCTATAAGGAAATACTCTAAGCAAGCTTGAAATTCAGTGTATGTCATTTCGTCGAAGTGTAAACAACTTTTTTTTCATAGTGTTAAACATGTCGAGTTTCGTCCCAAAAAAAGAGTATTTGCAAGGAATTTTACTGCACTACTTTATTCAAAAAAAATTTGCAGCTGAAGTACATAGAATTCTTGTTGAGACTTACGGCGACCATGCTTTGTCGGAAACAACATGCAGAGATTGATTTAGACGCTTCAAAAATAATGATTTTGATGTTGAAAATAAAGAACGCTCTGGCGCACCGAAAAAGTTTGAAGACGAAGAATAGGAGGCATTACTTCATGAAGACTTATGTCAGATGCTAGCTGAACTTGCAGAATCATTAGTTGATCAGTTTCGAACGTTTGAAAGTATTAGGAATTATTCAAATGCAAGGACATTGGATGCCGTACAAGTTGAAGTCGAGAGACGTCGAACGGTGTCTTTTCACGTGTGAGCAGCTGCTTCAACGGCATAAAAGGAAAGGTTTTTTGCATCGTATCGTGACTGACGATGAAAAGTGGATACACTACGATAACACTAAGCGTAGAAGATCGTGGGATAAGCCCGACTATGCATCAATATCGTCAGCAAAGCCGAATATCCATGGTTAGAAGCTTTTGCTCTGCATTTGGTGAGATGAGCTGGGTGTAGTTTATTATGAGCTGTTCAAACCGAACGAAATCATCACAGCAGATCGCTATCGACTACAGTTGATGCGTTTGAGCCGAGCATTGAAGAAAAAACGGTCGCTATATAAGCAGAGATACGACAAAGTGATTTTGCAACATGACAACGCTCGGCCACATGTTGCATAACCGGTGAAAACCTACTTGGAAACGCTTAAATGGGAAGTCCTACCCCACCCGCCGTATTCACCAGACATTGCACCTTCCGATTATCACTTGTTCCGATCGATGGCACATAGCCTAGCTGAGCAGCACTTCCATTCTTATGAAGATGCCAAAAAATGGGTCGACTCTTGGATAGCCTCAGAAGACGTGTCGTATTTCCGACGTGGAATTCAAATGCTGTCAGAAAGATGGGAAAAAGTAGTGGCTAGCGATGGACAATACTTTCAGTGACATGTTTTTTACGACTTTTTTTAAATAAAGCATTAATTTTCACGAAAAATCAGCGAGAACTTATTCAAGGTCCTAATATTATTTTGTAATATGACAAATATTTTTCTTGTTAATATTATCAGAGAAAAATCTGAAAGCGGCCACACCATACGTTTTGGTCGACACCGATTTTGACGCTGTTCGATGCGTTATCTGCACCCATTTTTGAGATGGAACTACGTTCCCTACACATTTTCAAACGCTGCCGGTAAAGTGTCGATTTGTTGCGTGTCCATTCTATGTCCATTTTCTGGCGATTCGTGTCCGTGTTAAGGGCATAATTGTGTGATTGAAAACATGGACTGTCCATGTTCTTAACCATGCAATTATGCGCTTAGCACGGACACAAATGGGGCGTCCCAGTATGTATATAGTTCATTGGCTGAATTCGACCGAGCCTATGGTCACACGGACAGACAGAGGGTGCTTTCCAATTGCTTAAAGGGACGTCTACATTGGAAATAAGCAGTAAGAAGTAGGACGTAAGAATAAGAAATTGAACAAACATAGTTGATTATTCTTCTCACATTCTACTGTAGTTTGTCAATTCCTTACTCTTACTTCCTACTTCTTACTACTTACTTCCAATGTAGACATTCCTTAAAGGGACATTTACATTGGAAGTAAATAGCAAGAAGTAGGAAGCAAGAGTAAGAAATTGACCAACCACAGTCGAATGTGAGAAGAATAATCAACTATGATTAGTCAATTTCTTATTCTTACTTCCTACTTCTTACTGTTTACTTCCAATGTAGACGTCCCTTAACATATCTTGACATACACGTACCAAACCAGTTTATTGGTCACATATTATCTAAAATATCTTGTAAGATAATATGCAACCAATAAACTGGTTTTGTAACACAGTGTACGCAACTGGAAAGCACCCATAGCAGTATTGTTTTATTTTACACTAATGTGTGTTAAGTTTATACATACATATTTTATTTATACTGCAAGTGGTTCTGCACTTTATCAAACGTGATAAAACAGCGCGGCGTATGTCATATTGCATCTCTCTCTTCCTTCCTGTTTTACCATCGAAATTTTCATGTTTCGATTTTTTGACATTTATCCCTCGGCGGCACGCGTGATGTTGATTACATAGCGAAGCATTGTAACGCTCTATGCACAATGCCAGGCAACTGGCAATAGGAACAGGGAATAGGAATTCAGATTGGTCAATTATTTCTATTCCCTGTTCCTATTGGCTAATGCCTATTCTTATTGCCTGTTGCCTGGCATTGTGCATAGAGCGTAAGAATAGGAAAACTGGCAGTCCACACTTATATAGACAAAGGGCCACGTCATACGTTTTGACCGACACCGATTTTCACGTTGTTCGATGCGCCATCTGCGGGTGTATATCAGTTGGACACGGGGCAATTGGACACAGTCCAATCACAAGTCGCTGTTCCAAGGGACCCTACAAATGTCTCTAATCATACGGTGCTGTGATTGGCTGTGTCCAAATGCACCGTGTCCAAGTGCACCGCTCCCACCATCTGCACCCATTTTAGAACTACATTCCCTACGTCCATTTTCGGACACTGCCGATAAAGTGTCTATTTGTTGTATGTCCGTTCTACGCCCATTTTCTGGCGATTCATGTCCGTACTAAACGCATAATTGCGTGTTAAGAACATGGGCAGTCCCATGTTTTCAATCACGCAATTATGCGCTTAGCACGGACACGAATCGCCAGAAAATGGGCGTAGAATGAATACGCAACAAATCGACACCTTATCGGCAGCGTCTGAACATGGGCGTAAGGAACGTAGTTCTACCTCAAAAATGGGTGCGCAGATAGCGCATCAAACAGCGCGACAGTGAAAATCAATGTCGACCAAAACGAATGGCATGGCCACTCTCAGGTGTCTCTCTGTTAGGGTGCGTTCAGATTCCTCATCCGGGTGCACTCTATTACTAGAAACACTATAGTATATGTGACATATACTATAGCAGTTCTAGTAATAGAATACACCCGGGTGGGGAATCTGAACGCAGCCTTAGTAGTATCTCGTCGGTGGTACAGTAGAGAACCAAATCATAGATATTGCCGACCGGGAAAATTGGTAGTAATAGGTAATATAAGGTTCAGGTTATGAATATAGGGGCACCTTAAAATAAAGGGGAGCGGTGCACTTGGACAAGGTGCATTTGAACACAGCCAATCACAGCACCGTATGATTAGAGACATTTGTAGGGTCCCTTGGAACAACGACTTGTGATTGGACTGTGTCCAATTGCCCCGTGTCCAACTGATATACACCCAAAATATAGTAAACTGCAAGTAAGCCTCTCAGGCTTTTATCACTGTCGATGTTTATAGGAAAACGATATGGCTTTTACGTTGTGGACACTTTTTGAAGCAACTTTATTATGTTTGAATGCAGTTTGTGTTTTAAACGAAGAAAGATTTCTTGCCAAAGGTAATAATGAAGCATTTATGATTTTTACATGTATCTTATTTTATATTAGATTATACCAAGTTGGATATTGTCATAGGTTATAATAGATTTTATAGGTTATAATTTTGAAAACAATGTTACTTTTTGAAAACATAATATTTGGATCTGCACTTGACATTGAGCATTTTTATTTTAGTTGGGTGGGCGTCATGGCAAAATGTCCAAGGATTTGGTGAGCCTCCTACCGCTAAGACACAAATATTGAACCTTATTAAGTCAATACGAACTGTGATGAAAGGTAAGTAATTTCAAAATCTGATGATTATTTAAGATTCTTATTATTGTAGCTTCTATATTAATATTAATTTTCAGTTCCACTAATATTCTTCAATATCTTGACAATAATTGTGAAGCTTGTGTTAGGATGATGCATGAGTTACAGTATAGGTGTACAAATAAAACGCTGTGTGTGAACCAAACTGAATGATGTCTATGTAATGAAAACTTATTAAATTATATTTACCTTTGTGATAAAACAATATCTTGTCCTTGCTATGTGTTTATTTCTAAAAAAGATCTAAAACCTTAGTAATAGTTTTGTACAAAACAAGCAATGTATAGTGTCTCTTCTTTTCTGCCTTAGAAAAACGACAATTTCTGTATAAATATATTTTGGATATAGTATATAAAATTATAATTTTGCACATGTAAGAAATAATAAAAAGTAACAACTACTTGTGATAGTAGTACTGGAAAAGTAATAATATATTTATTATTACCAGTCAATATATAGGGAACTTTTATCAAAACAAGAAGCATTCAATATTAGATAATAAGACATTCGAATTGTTTAGATATTTTTTAATGTAGTAAAAGACAATGAAATCGACAGATGCTACGAGCACACCTTCCATCTTCGATGTTCGTTAATGGTCCCTTTCTGCGGTTTGCAATCATATACGACATGTCTAAGTTGCGAAATTTCATTACTGCTCTTACTTTCGAACGACTGCCCGCCTGTTTTTCTCAGCCAGGGATGGTACAAACATTTTCAGACTCAGTGTGCATCGGAAATAAAACCATATAATGGAAAGAGAATATAAAGATTTATAATATAATACGATAGAAAGCCTTTCCTTTTCCTTCCCTTTTTAAAATTTTGAAAATTCAGAATGTATTTGTTAGAACATTTAAAGCAAATTTATTTTTGTTAGTACTTTCGTTTTATTACGGGCCTGAGACGTGCTCTACCTAACCTCATCTGACAGAAGGTGATGGCACCTCGCTTTCATTCGCCGATACCAGCTGACCTACAAGCCAAATTAGTACAACCGACGTTTTCCATTTGTGCTGTGAGAGAATTCTCGAAGACCAAGGTAAAAATTCGCTAAATGAATTAATTAGAAATTAGAAAGGTTAATAAGCAATGCTTATAATATCGCCAGTTGGCAAAACCATGAATTAAGGCCAGTTCAAACTTCTTGATAATTTAACTGATAATTATATCATATAACTGTCTTTATCTAATTGAAAGAAAAACAAGGACAGACATATGATTTAACTATTAGTTGATTTACCAAGAAGTTAAAGCAACCGGCTTTTAGTGATTAAAAAATTAAACCAAGAACTCGCATTATAACGCAATTCGAAGAGACGAAACTTTCGACTTATGATGAACTGCAATTCAAAGATCGTTAAGTATGTCGGCATTCGAATGATCGTTCACGATCAGAGTTGCAAAGAGCGCGAAAGGGTTAACCAATCGTGCTATACCGAATATATCTTGCGTAAGCCTTTCCGCGCATGAATTGGCGCTATGTGCGCAGCACCGGCGTACTCGCGGCTGAAACAAACGATAGCCCCGCTTCCGCTCATTTCCATTTCAATTATTCCTTCCCGGATCATTTGAATCGTAAATCGTCTGGTCAACGGCCAGCGCGCGTAAATAATCATCGGCGTTCCTCGCGGAAGATCCAGCCGGTCGGACAGGCTGACGTCTTCCTCCTTACAGATTTGCGAATAAAATAGCGGGACGCGGTGATTTTCCGACAACTTTCTCCCCTTCCTAGCTTTCTCGGGATAAAAGAAGTACCACGCAGGAGAAATAATCAATGACTATTACACCGGATTCGCACTTCGCTGTGCGCGCGTGCCCGCGATATGTGAAGATTCGTTAGCGTCATTAGACGTGAGTTGCATGAGCAACGTGCTCGTGTCTCATTGCATTACGAAAGTCCACTTGTTCTGTTCCATTGAATTTCTTCTGGCAGGTCTTTTAATCGGTTCCGCAATTTGTTTCCTCGATATAACGTAACAGGGGGAAAATATCAGGAGCATGCAACGTTCACATGAAAATACGGACATATTAAAAACGAGAAATATGTATCTGACCGATACGCGAATTAACCGTTGAACATATTTCAATCTCCGAGATTTTTGTGAGGCATTGTTAAAGTAAAAATCGATCCCGAACCGTTCGAATAATTCATGGATTGCAAGGAGTGGCGGCCCTGCATGAGGTAACGTTATAACGACGTTACGGTCATTTCTGCTGGGAATTACGATCCCATTCTCGGTGCAGAACGCTTTGCAGGTTGCGCCGAAGATGCAACGCCGATCGTGCTGTTGTGCAAGCCTCTTGTCCGATTTATCGTACATCGATCGTTCGGCCAATAATCTGTTACCTTTTCTCGAGATACGTGTATCAATTTTACGTATTCGCTTTTGGACCTGTGAAGAATATTCACGAGAAAAAAATGCATGATCCTTTCTAATTTAAATTCCCCCCTAAAATATATGATAATAATTATATTATTAATATTATTATATGCAGTGTGTTCGATCTCATCTGTCGGGGTTAATAATTACGTGGAATAGGGTATTTCAAACGAAGATGTTAAAACGAGAAATGAGATGGCAATTTTTCATATCGAATCACACAAATTTACAGAAACTCCTCTAGAAGGGAGTTAAATTCTTTTAACGGCGACTATCTACAAGAATGACACCGATCTCACCGATAGGATCTCATAAGAAACTCATAATGATAAATCCGACGACCTATAATTTTACATGTTTGTCGCAAAAATTATGATTGCAGTGAATTTTTGTAGATAGCCTGCAAGAGGTATTGACGTCTGTTCGATCAATCAGAGTGAGCAAAAGAGATACAATAGTTTAAGACCCTGTTGCACCCATCGTAGTAAGCTTATTAACAGTTAAGTCGTACGTTTGTCTTTACTTTTCCTTCAAAATTAACAGACGCCTGTTAATGTTCACTATTAGCTTACCACTCTCGACTGGCAACCAAGCCTAAGTGGATCGAGAGGAAATTGGACATTTTCTATTATCACAAACATTTTTTTTCCGGGAGTACCACTTGAGGGATTGATGTTAAAAGGATCTCGTTTTCTTTTGTGTTTCTGCAGCGCGTCACTCTTGCAATTACGAAAAAAAAAAAATGTATAAGAAGAAACGAATAGCGAAGGAGCAAAGCGACCTCGTTGAGGTTGCTTACGCGATCTCGCTCGGACTAACGTGGCGTCGAGCTCACATCGTTGAGCAACGTATGCTAACGCGCGCGTATTCCTGTCAAAAGTCCTGCGGAAATGGTACTAGCGAAAGTACGAGGACTAGCGAGCACATCGTGGAACCGGCGTGTTTTACGCGCCCCCCCGACAAATCTGCTTCCCATAATTGGTAGCGCGGTTAGCATTGTGTACATCGCGCACTTCCTCTCTCGACGCTTCTCTCATTTTCACACGCTACGGGGCTTTTCCTACGCCACACCGCAGATCGAGCTCTGCGATTAAAAGCGGATCTGCGATTAAGCGGCCTGCATGAAAGCAGAAGCTCTCCTTCGGGACTATTCCTTTCTGAGAGCGGCTCGAATTTATTGGACTTCCTCCATTAATTTAGTTAAATTTACACTTGATTTCTACCAATCCCAAATATCAAATCTAACGCAGTCGAATTTCCTGAATGTACAGAGTGAGTCAACAACTATTACTATCTTCAATATCTTCAAGACGAAAAACAAAGATAATCTTAAGATCTTCGAAGTTATTCCTCTTAATAGCTTAACCACTTTTTCTTCCAAGTGGAATAGTTTTGAAAATCTCTGAAAATCATTTGTTTCTTGCTTCGGAGATATTCAAAGGGCGGCAATAGTTATTACAACTCACTCTGCAGATCTTTTCTTAATAAAGTTTCCAAAGATTAGACAAAATCAGTTCAAAAGTATATAGACGGTCTGTGTCGTCATGTTACCAATTAGACTTTCATGTCGCAGAATGTTTCTCATCATTCTTAAGCTTAATCTAAAATGTGTTCTTTGCTTCTTGTTTATTTCTTTTTATCTCTTTCTAACTCAAACCTTAAGCTTTAAACTTGATCTACAATGTGCTCTTTGTTTCCTGCTTCTTTCTCTTTATCTCTTTCTGATTCAAACCTTAAGCTTTAAGCCAGAAAAAGATAGAAGACAAGAAACAGAACGCAAAGAGCAGATTGTAGATCAGGCTTTAAGCTCTAAAAAGATAGAAAACAAGAAAGAAGAAGCAAACAGCACATTGTAGATTAGGCTTTATCAGTTTCTTTATTGGCAATATTTTCATCGTTCTCCTTAAAAAATAACTTCTCGCTGGATATGTGTTTACTGCTGCCACAAAGGACAATATGTAAGGCAAGGATTGTAACCGCAATATGCGCGGCGCACGAAACTAGTCGTGTTCTTCTAACTGGAGCATAAGATCGCGGCTGATTCTCTAGATGCGTGTTTTTCTCCTTTCGCACGCCAGCGGACGAGCTCGTATGAGTATGTGCGTGTGTGCGCGCGCTTGCAAAATTCCACGACGAGTCTCACACAGCATGTGTGCGTCTCTCCATCTCCCTCCTGCCGATCTCACTGTACCCCCTGACGCGAAGTCGCGCGGCACTTTCCCTGGTGGACGTTGCGAGTAAATACGTAAGCCTCTCTTGGGGCAGATAGCTGCCTGATATCACGCTTTTCTCCGTCTCCCACGAAATCATTTTTAATAGCGCTTTGTAGTAAAGTCATCGTCATCGCCTCGCCAAGAGACATCATGAAAGTGCGTGTCGACTCGCGTATGTTACTGTGTTTCTTCGCGCAATAAACATGTTATTACCTTCGGCAGGCACGCGACAAGTTCCATACTCGTAAATCGGATTATTGTATCGCGTGAAAATCGTCATTTCTCATTGTCATTATGCGTTGATTTTGTCTCGAATCTTCCGAAGAACACTTCTTCGTTTCATTAAGACCATTTTTATACGACTTGATTGCATAAGCTCTAATTACACGATCCAAGTAAAGCATATATTCGTAACGGCACAATACAGGCTGCGCTGGTTCCGCTGAAGCTTATTCTGTCGCTCAAGAGATGATTAATGTTACGTTATGAAAAATCCTTTTCTCTCACGCAGGGTATAAATTTCTACTGACGCGATGATTACTCCGGTTTGGCGTCTCGTGCTGTGTCGCACTAGGCATTCACTTTCTTCATTTTGCAACTCGCGTTTGTCCCTCGTC